TTTTGAGACAGGGTCTTGCTCCATTGCCTGAGCTAGAGTGCAGTGGTGTTATCATAGCTCACTGCAACCTCAAACTCCAGGGCTCAAGCGATCCACCTGCCTTGGCGTCCCGAAGTGCTAGGATTATAGGTGTGAGCCACTGCTCCCAGCCCAAATATGTCTATTTTTAATCCATTTTGGTGTTTACTTTTTTTTATGAGAGGGCAATGATATGAAACTGTGATTCAGGAATAGATGTCGACTCCAACGTCATCATATACACTTCTCCAATTTTTCCTTTTGTTACCCTAGATTTTACTATGAGCAGCGAATATTACGGAAGGTCTTTGATGAATGGAAAGAAGAGTGGTGGATTTCCCACCATGAGTGGAAACTCTGCGTTCGAGCCGACTGTCACTATAGGTCAGATTTCATGTTCTGTTACTTCAATTTACTGATATTGCATTATCAAATAATTACTTGTTAGCATGTTTCTGGTCAAAGGGAGCAAAATTTTGGATCACTTTCTGTTTTTCTTCAAATCTTTAGAGTAAGCTAGATCAAAGTCCTAAATTAAACCCAAGCATGCAAGCACATGCTGGGTACACACACACACACACACACCCCGTGCCCCTCTAATTCAGGTAGCCATCATGTGGTTCAGGTAGGTCATGCTTATGATTTCAATGAGTTTTTCTCACTGATTCTTGGTTCTATATAATTTTTAATTCCGAGAGTATTCTGGGCTGGGGATGAGTTGGTTTGTCTGAAACAGAGTGTCACTCTGTTACCCTGTCACCCTGGGTAGAGTGCAGTGGCGTCATCATGGCTCACTGCAACCTCAAACTCCTGGGCTCAAATGATCCTCCTACTTTAGCCTCCCTTGTAGCTGGAACTATAGGCATGCGCCACCATGCCCGGCTGATTTTTCTGTTTTTAGTAGAGATGGGTTCTCACTCTTGCTCAGGCTGGTCTCAAACTCCTGAGCTCAAGCAGTCCTCCCGCCTCAGCCTCCCAGAGTGCTAGGATTACAGGTGTGAGCCACTATGCTGGGCCCAGAATTAGAATTCTGATACTGTGTTTCCATTGATTTAGAAACTTGTGATGGAATGGTTGTTTTCATGGCTTTGTGGATGCTGAAAGCGAAGTTATTCTTGAAGTTAAGCCTTTTCATCTGCAGTGATACTTTAAGATGTGGAGAAGGACTCTCCTTCAAGGAGAATAGGTTTCACTGTTATTATAAGAAATGAAATTTTAGCTTTGGTGCAGAGGTGGCTTTTTTGTGTCAGAAGCTTCCATGTCAATTTCTTCTGTGTGTAGAAGAGACTGGGTGTGTTGGATTAGGAGCTGTTTTGTTGTTTTGTTTTAAAGAAATGCCATTTGCTTTTTTGGCTCCACAGATATTACTTGTACAACCTGATGTTCCAGACCTGGAAGACCTATGTGCATCAGCAGCAGGAGATGAGGAACAAGTACATCAGAGCTGAGAGTCATGGTAGGAAAGGAAGTACTTGGCTAAAGAAGATGCCCAAATTTACTTTCACAGAAGCCTTTGGAAAGGACAAACACATTTTCCCTGAGAGAGAATAACTCTAGGTCAGAGAGAAAACTTGTTAGATTCCCTTTCATATTTTTCAGAATGTGCGATTTCTTGAGTGGGGACTCCTCTATGATCAGATCCCTGTGGGTTTTCATGGTTTGGGCATGAAATACAGCTCAATATTATGGAGTAAAAGGGAAAAGTCACTTGAATTTTTAAGATAAAAAGAATTATTTCTGACATACGATAGTTATTTCAGCCCATACACGCAGACTCCAGGGAGTATCCATTCACTTTTACACTCTTAAATGAAAAGTTTCCAAGTACTTTCAGCCTTAGGCAAGCATGGTTCTCAATTTGCCATATGTATCAGAATCATGGCAGAGACAGTTAATGCAGATTCCTGTGTTCCACACTCAGGAAATAATAGCTAGTGTTTGTTGGAGATATTTCTCATAGATAAGACACTTTACAAACATGTATCTAAAGGAGGTGCCCCATTTTACAGATGAGGAACTGGTGTGAGATTACTCAGCTACTAAGTGGAAGGGTCAGGATTGAAACCTGGCTTGTCTTAGGGTCCCAAACCCTAAACCGCAGCACTATTTTAGTCCTCATGACCTGAGTGCTGCTGATACCTGGGGTCCAGGATGGGCCCATAGGAGCTATGTGTTAAATTGTCCTTCACGTTTTGATTTGTCTTGTCAACAACTATGAATATAAAGTATAGCTATAGTCCTACTGACCATATTTTTTTTTTCTTTTTTTTTTTTGAGACAGAGTCTCACTCTGTTGCCCTGGCTAGAGTGAGTGCCGTGGCGTCACACTAGCTCACAGCAACCTCAAACTCTTGGGCTCAAGCAATCCTACTGCCTCAGCCTCCTGAGTAGCTGGGACTACAGGCATGCGCCACCATGCCCGGCTAATTTTTTCTATATATTTCTAGCTGTCCAATTAATTTC